GGGACAAGATGACATCGATAGTAGCAGTTGAGTAATTGGAAGCCATATCACTGGAAGCAGGCAGTTGCAGAAGATGCACACCAATGGCAAGCGTCCAAGAATCGACGGGCAGGCATTTTCGTCCGCAAACAAGGCTACCTCCATTCCTGACCGAGTGCTCCTGCAATCGAAGTAACAGACAAAGATATCATGCTGGCTGATTATGTTTTTGGTCTGTTCTTAAACTTAACAAATTTTCAGCTGTTGGAAGCGGTATGCCACGATAGGTGAAGTGCAGGAAGTTGCAGAAGACGCACCTAAATGCCTATAGTCCCAGAACTGACTGTCAGGTATTTTCGTCTGGACTTAGCCCGAGTTTCAGCTGGCCCTGACACCAGACTTCGACATTTTGACAGATAGGTGTCTTCATTCCTCTGGCCCTGACACCAGACTTCGACATTTTGACAGATAGATGTCTTCATTCCTCTGGCCCTGACACCAGACTTCGACATTTTGACAGATAGATGTCTTCATTCCTCTGGCCCTGACACCAGACTTCGACATTTTGACAGATAGATGTCTTCATTCCTCTGGCCCTGACACCAGACTTCGACATTTTGACAGATAGATGTCTTCATTCCTCTGGCCCTGACACCAGACTTCGACATTTTGACAGAAAGATGTCTTCATTCCTCTGGCCCTGACACCAGACTTCGACATTTTGACTGATAGATGTCTTCATTCCTCTGGCCCTGACACCAGACTTCGACATTTCTAAATCATTCAATATATTCCGAGACCATTATACATCGGCTGGTAGAACTGGAGCTGTTGGAAGATGAATCCGTAGGGAATTACAGTCAAAAGCACAGGGTCACCACCACCAACAGTCTTCAGAGTGTGATAAAACTACCAGTTACAGACCAAAGGATTGAACCACATCATATCTCACAAGCAACAACTGCTGGGACCACAACCCATGACAGATCAGATAAAAGCATAACAACCACCAACGACAGAGGGAAGTAGCTAAAGAATGAAATCGCAAACCATGACGGATCACTACAGATCTATGACCAACGAGAGGAAGGTGAACGTAACAAGCACGCGCCCAGGTACTATTAGACCACACACTAATTCACATAACCTAATTAAAGAAGGCGCTCCGGACCCCGACCAACAACCACTGAAACGAAAACGTTTCTGGAACTACACCAAGTCGTTGAAGAAGGATAACTGTGGGGTGGCTCCTTTGAAGAATAAGGGTAAGCTACATAATGAAGCTATCGACAAAGCAATAATCGTCAACAGGCAATATCGATCGGTTTTCACCAAGGAAGACTGACAAATCAAGCATCCCAGCAACACCTAAGAGCGAACCAGCCCCTTCCTTGTCAGATATCGATATCACCACTGAAGGAATTCTTACTTTGCTAAAGAAACTTAATACCCAGAAGGCAACTGGACCAGATGTGAAACCTTCACGTATCCTTAAAGAGATGGCAGAGCAGTGTGCACCTTATCATTGCATCATCGACAGGAAATGCCTATCCAGTGGTAGTATTCCGAATATCTGGAAAACAGCCAACGTGTCAGCCATTTAAAAAAAAGGGGGAGAGGTTGAAGGCAAGCAACTACAGACCTGTGTCCCTCACCTTCATACCATTTAAGATGTTGGAACACATTAGTGTCAGCAACATAATGCGACACCTTGACTATCCTCACCGACTGCTAGCACGTACACTTACCGACGAACCAGTAAGTAAGTAATATCTGGGATGGGAGACACTAGAATCTCGTCGGATCAAATCCCAGCTGACAGTAAAGTTCAAGATCGCCAACGACCGTGTGGACATACCAGTCAGCCAGTACCTCACCCCAGCCCAGGGACATATTTGTAAGATCCTCCCACTCAAGGAAATTCCGCCTGCCCTCTACATCCACATCATACTAAAGAAACTTGTTCTTTCCACGAACAGCTTCAGTATGGAACAGCCTACCTGTCGGTATCCTTCAAGCAGGGGCTATCAACACTCTTATTCTAGTTCATAGGGGGCCAGCAACAAGTAGTTTCTAGTGATTCTAATTGCTGTGCCGGCCGCGGCCACCGTAACCGGAGACGACTAGGTTGAAGAGGCGAAAACGTAGCTGGACACTTTATTTGTTTATTTTTACCGTTTTTACAACTATCCAACCTCTTCCTACGGTCTATCCTTTCAATATCTCTTCTTGACCTTGCACCACCTGTCGCGTAATAGTCAAGTGTGACTGCGTCGACGTACGATGAAGATGTAGACACTGTCACTCGTTGCCAGGGTGTTGGGAAGCACCCTTCCATTGGCTCAATGTTAAAGCGAATGTGACAGTGTGAACAATTTGTCTCGACCATTCAGACTACATGATTTTGTTAGTGGTATAAAAAACAAGAGGCCCATGGGCCTAAACGGTCACCTGAGTCTACAGTATTTATTTTTGTTGTTGAAATATGTACCAATTTGAGTAAAAAATAGTATAATGTTAACTTAACTTTGTCAGGACCATGAGCTGATCATTCCTAGACCAATTTTAAGTGAGATCGGCCTATTAGAACTTAGTAGAAAATTAGCGGCCATGGCAGCCAAATTGTATTTCTGATTGACCTGAAAAATAACAACACTTTGTCAGGACCATGATTCGATCATTCCTACAAAGTTTCAGTTCAATCGGCCAAGTAGAACTTTACTTTAAGTTTGAAATAGTTTTTCAAAATGGCAGCCGTGGTGGCCATATTGGATTTCTGATCGACCCGAAAAATAACAACACTTTGTCAGGACCATGAGGCGATCATTCCTACCAACTTTCAGTTCAATCGGTCCAGCAGAACTTGACTTTAAGTTTGAAATAGGTTTTCAAAATGGCGGCCATGGCGGCCATATTGGATTTCTGATCGACCCAAAAAATAACAACACTTTGTCAGGACCATGATTCGATCATTCCTACAAAGTTTCAGTTCAATCGGCCAAGTAGAACTTTACTTTAAGTTTGAAATAGTTTTTCAAAATGGCAGCCGTGGTGGCCATATTGGATTTCTGATCGACCCAAAAAATAACAACACTTTGTCAGGACCATGAGGCGATCATTCCTACCAACTTTCAGTTCAATCGGCCCAGCAGAACTTGACTTCAAGTTTGAAATGTAAAATGTTAATGGACGACGGACGACGACGTACGAAGACGGACGAAAACGGATAGCAATAGGTCACTTGAGCTAAAGCTCAGGTGACCTAAAAAACTATGGACCAGAAATGAAAAGGAGATATTTCATTCATTCTTTTTTCTTTATGGTTAAACAAGCCCCCTTTAAGATGACATAGTTGCTCAACAATTTATTATTAATTGTTAACCGGCACTACAAAATATAATCTTTGGTCCCAAATAGAATGCTACGAAATTACATTTTGCCGAAAATTTATTCATGACGTACGTCATGCGCAGCTTGAACTAATATTACCGTGAGGAATAAATGAACTTTAAATGTCTTAGATTGTACTATATTAGTACTTATTCGGCTATTTTTTTTACACTTTGCTATAGTAGCAGATTTGCATGAGATTTGTGCTTGCTCTTATCCATGTACTTTCAATTAATATGCTTGAACAAATTCTCTCATACCTAACTTTAGTAGTTTATATATGTTTTATTACCTTGCTATGATATTTGTTATGTTTTGTTATAATAACTCTCCAGAGCCAATGTGTCATATATGACTGAAATAAATTTCTTGTTTCTTGTCCTTTCGAAACGTTTAGTGTTGTATAAAATTCTAGACATGTGATACTCGTATTAGCACTTACTATTTACAATGTACCATGTCTCGTTCATTAACAACGTCAGAGTATGTTCTGAAAAGGCACGTCATCCAACGTTCATCACAATCTCGGTACTTCTTTTCCTTTATGAAATATACTTCAATATATTACTAAGAATTTTACTGTAAATTCTTTTTTTCCGAAACCCCACATCAACATTGATTTGTGGCTAGTATATTTCTCCACGGTTAGTAAATGAGAAATGTTCGCTTAGGTTGAATGGGGCATTGACATTGTGGTCATGTATTTCAGCAATTCTACCAGTATGGGGATGTATTACGTACTTGGACAAAGGGAAGTAATCCAGTAGTAGTTAAGGGAGATCATGACACTAGACCAAAATTATCAAGATGCAAGATAACTGAAATCTGTTCACAATTTTACAACTTTTTCTTGTCCTAGTGATAAAATATATCTATACATAGGTATTTTTCTAGTCACACACCCTAAGAGAGTAAGAGAACACACAGATTTTATGTTGTATTACAATGATATGACACGGCAAAGTAATGCTCTGGGTTAGAAAACTCATGTGTCATTGTATTTGTCAAATTAAAAATAACTAAGAACTTTTAAAATTGTCAGACTTCATTCTACATGATTACTAGGACGACACAGCTACATTTTCTGTCAAAGGTGAGTTAAGGGAGACAACTTCAATGTAACAGTTTACCTACTTAGTTCTTAACGTTGTAGTGTTTTCCAAGATCAGTTATACGTGTTCATTTCCAACTCATTACTGAAGAATTTTTTAATTATCTCTAAATATTGTTGTTGCCCTTATATTACTTTAAATAGTCCAGCCCATACTGGACAGCTGTGTGCATATTATGAAATATTCATGGTACTTGTTTGGGTTTGATTTACAATGCAATCAATAATAAATAAGGCCAAACAAAAAATGTTTGGTGTTTCCTGTAACCCTACCTACCTTAGTCAAGATCACTCTCCTATATAAACCATATAAAACTATTTGTTGAAATAAAATTTGTTATTCTACCTTCCTACCCTTTACTTTTCCAACATATTACAGGAAACACATATATTTTTTGGTCTGGCCCAATACATATTTCAAGAAACCCAGGAATCTTTCATTTTTGAAATACCCTTTCTTTCGCCTAGACCTTGGACCATAACAAAGAAGCATGGAAATCATATAATACCACCACAAATAAATATTTTGAACATTTTTATTATAAATTTATGTACTATTGTTTGTTTACAGTTCTTGGAAACCTCTGGGAAACCTTACAAAGAACACAAAGACATTCATTTCCACCCATCTAAGAACAACAATTTGTCAATAATGACATAAACCATATTATCAGAATACAACAAGTCTGTCAATGTTTATTCTTACTGCACTAATTCACAACACTGATAACAGACCGGTTCTTCTTTATTTATTTACAGTACATCACAGATGTTTAAAGTGAGATTATTTTATATTCATCTTGCGGATTAAAGCTAGAGTGACATATCAGTTTTTAACTTCTTTGCAGAAAAACCCTCCTAACTTTGTGATAAGATACAGAGCCATGAAAGAAAGATTTCTATTGGTTATCAATGTTTTTGAAAAAGAAATTAGAACTGGTGTTTTAAAAACACTGACACAGCAGTTTGAACTTCACTTTGTAACAGCAATACCCAACAACACTGGTCATCCCTGAATTAATTCATACTCAATTATTTTCTTAATCTGAATTTCATTTTCAGATCAAGACAAAACTGTAAAGCTAATTGAATACTTTTAATAGTATCTTGTGGATAAGATCGCTTGTTTTTGTCTAATTTAACTACAGATTACTCAATAGAAATTATGAAAATTAAGTGTGTTTTTTTACAGCAACACTGTAATAAAAGTGTGATGCTGAATGCAGATCTGAATGGTATGTAACTATCTCTGTATTCTCTAAAATGAATATCTCTTAGTAATTTTTGTAGCATTTAAATTAACTTATATTTAAAATCTTGTGAACATTATCACAATGAAAGATGACAATGCTGTGTAACCACACAATGTAACATAAATAGCACTATATTGTACTGACAACTGTTGCTCCTAGTCTCCTTAAAGTTTAAAACTGTGCAACACTTACTTTGTGTTGAAAAAAATTCATGCAATATTCTCATTTGAAAATATTCTTTTCAAACTGCATTTACTTATTGACCCTTGAAATTCCATGATGGACTATTCCAACCTTTGAATCGGAAGAGTGCAAATGTGTCTGCAGGGGTGAACGAGTTGAGATGCATTAATAATAGCTTAGAACACCAAACCATGTGTTTAATTACAAAACTTCAAAACAAGGTAATGGACATACTGACAATTGAATATTGTATGTTTAGGAAACATAATGACTGATGCAGGATCAAGATAATGCCAAATTTCAGTTCAAAGTATACAACACAGATGATCTTATTGAAGCAAAATCATCAAATAATGGCTTTGCCAGTTTACCTTTAACACTTTCTACTAGTTTACAATTTCAGTTTTCAGTCATATGATACAACAAAACACTGTGAGACCTAACAAAGCATGACAAGATTCTATTATACAATTCTATCCAAAATCTATGGGAAACCGTCAAAGTCCTCATCTGCGATCTCCTTGGCACTTTCTAGTTCTTGTTGTTCACGTTCTCTTCTCTCCTGCAACAACAGTACAATACCAAATTTGTAATAGTCACATTAAATGAACTGATCAACAAAACATTACTATGGGTCAGCTTGATGAAAAGAAAAAATGCTCCGTCAAATTGTGTCGTTTTCTCCATCTTCTCTACTTTAAAATCAAACACTGAAATCTTTTAATATTCCCATTCTTATTAAATAGCAAACCAAGACTTTTCATTTCAAAAACAATATTCTTAAAGCTTCAGAAACGCATCCAAATTCTTACCTCTGCAGATTCTAAATCTTTGTTATATGACTTTGGTGGAAATCTCATAGCCTGTAAAAGTGAAAATAATATGGTTACTGATTCAGTGGAGCAATAATCTATTTGTTAACATTTAAGTTCAACATGAGCGATTTTATAATCAAAATTTAATTCAAGTGATAACTAGAACACTGACAGGTCAGTAAGGGCCCCGTCTTGTGGCAATATATCCCCCATAATCATCAAGAAGCAATCTGCCGATATAGCTGAGCTTGACGTTTGACATTTGGACTTCAAAAAGAATCGCAAGGAAGCAAAATATACATTTTACATGTACTATGATGTGAGTCTTGTTTCCTTCCACTTCCATATTTGCTGGGCTATAGCTAACAGATATGTAAATACTGGTGCAATACTCATTTGTTAGCTTTGATTTGTTTTATTTCACCTTATATACCTCCTCCATCAAGAGCCAGGGTCAAAGTCAGAGATCCACTTTATCTTTGAACCTTGACCATTAACCCAGTGACCCTGATCTTTGGTCAGTTGACATATTCTTTAATTCCGGCCAACTTTGCTTCTAAATATCATAACAAAATATGAATCAGTGAAAAATACAAAACTTGACCTTGACCCTTTGGACCCTGTAACCTGGATCTAAGGTCAGTTGACTCTGTGTTAAGTTCTGAACAACATTGCTTCATAATGTCATAACAAAATGTTCATCAGGGAAAAGGTACAAAAATTATCCTTCACCTTTGACCCAGTGACCTTGACCTTTGGTCAATTGACTCCTTGTTTAATTCTGAGCAACATTGCTTCATAATGTCATAGCGAAATGTTCACCAGTAAAAAGCTACAAAATTTGACCTTGACTCCTGACCCGATGACCTTGACTTTTGGTCAGTTGACTCCTTGTTTAATTCTGATCAACTTTGCTTCATCATGTCATAACAAAATGTTCATCAGTGAAAAGATGCAAAATTTGACCTTGACCTTTGAATCTAATGACCTTGACCTTTCACCTCGACTTTTTACCTCAGTGTGTCTCTTTGTTTAATTCCGAACAACTTTGCTTCATAATGTCATAGTGAAATGTTCACCAGTAAAAAAGCTACAAAATTTGACCTTGACCCCTGACCCGATGACCTTGACCTTTGGTCAGTTGACTCCTTGTTCAATTCTGATCAATTTTGCTTCATAATGTCATAACAAAATGTTCATCAGTGAAAAGATGTAAAATTTGACCTTGACCATTGAACATAATGACCTTGACCTATGACCTTGACTTTTTACCTCAATGTGTATTTTTGTGAACTGAACATCTTGACCAAGTTTCATGTACCTCGGTCAATAAGTGCTTTTCATACTTGAAGCTGTTCCATTCTTAAGCAGTCGGTTAATTTTGTCTTATGAGATTTGGCATAAATATTTTGAGTCGATGTAAGAGTTAACTCCCTTTATTTATAATTTTCACTGAGAAGTATTTTTTGAAATATAATGTTGATCGAGAAAGTACCACTCAATTGCACATCACATAGTCAGAAAACTGAACAAAGCAATAATTGATAAAACACGGAGACATTTTCTTCGGACACTTCAATTTTGACTTAGTATACCTTTACTGAAGAGTTATGTATATCTAGGCAGAAGCTGATGCGCTGATGAAATGCTGCCATAGGTTCCCTTGTTGTGTAGATGTCACTTGTCTCCTTGGACTGGACATAGCCCTGTTCATGGTCAATGGTAGCCTCAATCACTCCATCACGGATAGCCTGTATACATCAAATAAATCATTATGACTTTATATCTAGGAAGTAAGGAACCTATTCAGAGAAAATTCCAAATCACCTATATATTGTGATATGTCACGATTCCATTTGTAACATGCTACAGGTACCGTACTCATCACTTGTGTTGTGGATGTCTCTTTGTGAACATGGGATACTAAATGGATGGCCACATCCACAACACAGAAGGTAGGATAACATACATTCATATTGCCGATGATGAATACATGTCAGCTGCTGTATTTAAACATATGTGAAATAAAGGTTTAACATTACACAGTCAAGTTGATAGCATAACCTATACCAGCCTTAGGGGCCTGGGATGTGAAAATTACAACATGACATTGAAATTCTACTTCATGCACTTTCAGAAATAGAAGCATAAAATATTAAGCAATGACCATTTTCAGTTAAAATATTAGGATACATATAATTCTTGCCTGAAATTCCAAAAGATGGAACTCATTGCAGCTTGTTTTCTCAATGTAAGGCCTGAATGTTGTACTGTTTCAGTTGTGTCTATATTTGTTCACGGCTTCCCAAAAGAGATAAAATTTATCTGCATACCTTAGCTACAATGTACTCTGCATCCTCAGGGCTATCCAGCATCAGTTTCTGTGCGATGTCCATCAGTGAGATTTTGGAGTAGGATTGGTTGATCATCCTCACGCCGGTTTTGATGACATTATGACGTAGACGGATGATCAGCGTGTAGGTATCCTCAGACTGGAACTTGGAGCCAAATTTGTGTAACGTCTCGTTAAACTTGGCCAAGTTCCCTGTTCTCACAGCTGTAACAAAACAAAATGTGAAAGAGACATCAAGTCAGTCAAACAATCAGAAAAAGACAATTCATAATCAAAAATGTTGAGTTTTACCTTTAATTAGTCAGTGTTCCAAACAATGATAAAACAGGGAATGGTGCATTGCACTGGGTATTTTTCGTACTATAAGAAAAGCAGGGACATTAATAATTTGGAAACCTATTTTCATAACACTGATTTATTACTTTGTATTTCATTAAGTCAAAATCAGAGGTAAGCATGCACAAATATACATTACAGACCTCCTGCATTGACACTTTATCATGTACACTTTTACAAATTCTTTGCTTTGTCTTTTGTATATTTCCATCATGTCTACTATTATTGTCGCATGACGTTACTGATAATCACTATTACGTCACGACTCATCCGTAATTTCTACCTTAGCTCTGAAAAATTGTATATAGTTGTTCTGATGACAGCTAGCCTAGCTAGCCGTAAAATGTAATCTGTGAATAAAATACAGAATCTAAATGTTGATGCTCCATCTTTTATACCCTTTGAATTTATCTTCCGAGATGGAACTGTACTGAATACCGTTAGGTATCCATCTCCGATTCCTATTACCACCAACTTGACCATCAATCACGTTGGTTCTCCTCCACTCTGACAGAAGCTTTAGTTTTATCCTAGCTTAGTTTAATCTAAAAGTATACACAGATTACTGAGAACGTCTTAAACTACATCTCCACTTCCTGGATTGACACTTCTCTTGGGGCGAGTTTTATCTAGGTGTATATACAACATGCCTAAAACATCACTTTCTGGAGAGACACATACCTTGAGTAAGTTGGAAGTATGGAGCAAGTGTCTTCCTCATAGACTTATGTCTGAAAACATGTCTGTCTGGAATATCTCCTAACAACAGCTCCACCGTGATTGCCAGTCTCTGTACCTATAAATAAAATCAGGAAGCGTGTACAAAACTTGTTCATCATTTTATCAAAACTGTTAGGTATTTTTTGTAAACTGAAATATTTTTGACAATTCTTTTTATGACCTTGCATACCCCATATATATGTAGTCCATGGAAATTATTTCAATGCTCTACTTCACCCAAGTTAAAAGTATGGAGCATTAAGTTGAATATGGCAAGAAATTTCATAGAAAACATACTCCATGTAACTTGACTTATGATCCTGAAAAGCATACCAACTATAACTATAGCTATCAAGCAAATTTATATTTCCCTGATCGGATGTGAAAAGGAATGAGGTCACCTGCCCACGTTTGTTTCCCTCCCACATTAAGACCCCTTGTGCGCTGACATCCCGGCCAACAAGAGTGATTGATTTAAGATGCAAGAATTTGTTTTATAATACAGTGGAACCCGCTTTAATATTAAGATATTATATTTGCCAGAGAAAAATATCTTAATAACCGATCAAGCCGTTTTCGATTGTTTTTATGTTGTGTGAACCGGAAGTGAAATGCCCTATATTAATTATACATTAGATTGATGTGGAAACAGGGGAAAATATAAATACAAACTGATAAAGTAATAATTGAAATAATTTGTTCAATGTTATTTATATCAGCGTGTTGAAAAAATTCTAGAAAATTTCGTTTTGCCGTCATCATGATAGTATGTAAATTCTACTTTTACTTTCAAATAACTAAGAGCACATTCCTAAGAACTATCTTTATCCTACATCCTAGCTAACGAAATCGTAATGTTACAATCAATAGGATGAAAGAAGTGATATAAATTATTTAACTATTTTACAACGAGAGGTTGTGTTACATTTTGTCCCATAAGCGTAAAAATATTTTGGCGCGCTATGTCAATTACGATCACATGACAATCACATGCCTCGCAAGTCGTGCGGTGAAATCAACTTGCAAAGAAACAATAACAATTAAAAACACAAAACATTCCCTTTTTAGAGACACAGGGAAATCAACTCCTAATGCAAGAGAAACTCTTGCTATAATTATGAAAAACACATATCTTCCTTCTGAAGTAATATTTCTATTGAAATCAGCATGACTTTCTCACATGACGTGTCAAGGTAACCGTAAATATTTGTGAAAGGCATGTTCGTTTTCTTATCAGGAATTTGTGTTCGAAAATGTCGGTAGGCCTGTTCATTTCAATTTGATACATAGTCCTACAGTGTATTTTAGATAGCAATTAACTGCACCACATGTTTTGTTAAGACGAAAATGTATGACCAGCTAGCAATGGTCGATCTATTGTTTTTCGCTGACTGGGGTGAAGCAAGGTGTGAAAAATAACCTGGAGACGACGGGCGATCACCTCGGGCGACAGTTAGCCGGACCTATTACATAATTGTCAAGGTGATTCACTCGACAACTTACCCGAGTTTTTACCTTATAAAATCCATTCACGGCAGAAAAAAAATATCATAATAAGCGGGGTCCCACCTTGACCATATCATAATAAACAATTTATTTTTGCTTAGTTAAAGAAGGAAAAAAATCGGTACATGGGGGAAAATATCTTAATAACCGATATATCACAATAAGTGGATTTCACTGTATTGGAATGTGCGTATTAATAAAATGTGCAAGATATTTGTAAACATCAAAAGTTTTTTCTTTTCTCATATGAATGCACTGAACTGAATGGACAATTTGTTAGGAGTTCCTTACTATGAGAGAAAACACATTGAATGGGTGTTTGTGTCTACAACTTACTGTTTGTTTGAAGCCCACGGCACTGTGTTGAGGAGCTTTTCTTAAGGCCTGTAGCAAGTATTTATGAGCCTCTGAATATTCAAGTTGAGCAGACTTTATTCTTCCTGAAAACAAAATAAGACAGGATTTGTTTTTGTTTCTTTTATACCAGTACAAGGGGGAAAGTTTTTATTTACAACCATGTTACTTGAAATATATTTTAAAATCTATGTCTTATACATTGTATCAATAATTTAACATTGTTTTACAGTATACCAAGCAGACAATATATACAATGTATGTACAGTGGAATCTGTATAAAGCGACCAACCAAGGGAAATTAATAAAGTTGACCATATTTTGTACACACAGTAATATAACCGACTACAACCCAAGCGACTCCTTATTCAGACAACGGTAAACAGACAACTGTAAACAGACCACTGTCCCAAGCGCACGTACAGGTAGTTTAAAACAACATCGTTCAACAGATCATGTGAATAACTAAACAATAGTCGAGTGATAATTATGACAGTAAACAAACAGCTAAGTGCTTGAAAAGAATTGTCATTTCACTCAGAACAGTTCTCAAATTACACGACTGTGTTTTCGGTAATTACCATAATTTAAGCTAACTTGTTACGAAAGATATCGTGTTGAAATGATAGCTGTTCCTGTGGTGGTCAAACAGATGGGTTCACTTGTATTATTCCTATATTTTACGATGGAAACTGGAAAGAGAATCCATTTAAAAAATGATCTAAATAAAGCCAACAGCATATTGCCGTAAAACCAACCGGTATTATTGTCGTTAGTACTTTGGCGTTGATAAGTTCAGGGATGTTATTAAAGGCTTTTAATATTGATGAGGAATTAGAAACGATATGTATGCTAACATAAACATATTTACTGTGCAGTTGCACTGATATTCAATGTTAATTTCGCACGAGAGTGCTGTTGTGAACATATCTCAACAGACCCGATTTCAAGAATGAAAACCTGCCAGAGTACTTCATCCAATCAGATGGAGGATATTGTAGGGTTAAAGGTTACATTGCCTAGCAGGATACTCGTGCAATCAAAATGGTTTTGCTCAGCTGCAATAAATATCGGTCAAACATGGGTCGCTAAAATTATCAGATGTGGTCGTTTAACGTACTTTTGGGTGGTTGCGTTAGATAGATGGTCGCTTAATAGTTAAATTACAGTAAAAATGGTCGTGAGGAATGAAAAGTGGTTGCATAAAACAGGTGGTCGTTTAATACAGGTGGTCGCTTGAGCAGATTCGACTGTATATATCAATTACAACACAATTTTTTGCATGTACGAAAATCTCTTTAATATTAAGCCAAAAATTAAATCTTCATGTAAAGAGTACACAAACTAATATTTTTTTTTACAGAAGCAAGGTAAATACTTTTCATAATGCAAAATCTTCATATTTTTGGTTATCATATAAACTCTTGTAGAACTTGACAAGCAAGTGGATGCAAATTGTAGAAGACAGGTATTCAAATGACAGACTCTCCTGTGTTTTCTTTTTAATTTATTAAGTGAAGGTTTTAATTAATCCCAGCCTATGTGATGCATTACCTAGATAGTACAGATGCCGGGCCCACTCGTTGTTAGAAGCACTCTCTGGGAAGGTGGATTTAGATACCAGCTTGTCAGCCTGCTCTATGAGGTTGAACTGGAGGTAGTTCCTCAGGAGGAGGTTAAGGAGGGAGGCTTGTCCCTCATAGTCTGACCTCAGTGTGGCAGTCCGCAGTCGGGCATGGAGAAAACTGTGGACAAATATGTTGTAACAGTAACATGCTGTGAACAGCATTTTACATATCCCTGATACAGAAACATGTCACTTATTGCAAACATCAAGACTTCAATTAGCCTTTTATTAGGGACTGGTTTTCTGTTGTTTCGTGCCCGCATTATTGGGTATGTTAACAATAGTCCATTGAAGGATGTCACTTCACAAACTCGTCCATAATTTTAGTACTTTAGGTGAAAATGTTTGTAGTCAAACTGTCCTGGTGAAACCGGTAGACCACACTAATAAACACAAGAAAACCAGTCCCTAGTTTGTTGCGGTTGATGTACCCTTTTAGATTTGCCCTTACTTTCCAAGCGCCTTACATACAGAAAAGGACACCGGGACCAACCTATCAGCCACTACTCACCTCGGTGTTGGCTCTACACTAGGACTTCGAAGACTTCAATTATATTTTATTTCCTGTGAAGATATTCCATTGGATACATTTTGTATATGCTGTTATAGAAATTCACTTCGTAACGTAATTCTACATATTCAGACTGATATTATCCATATAACATTGTAACGTTGAGCAATATTTATTTCAATGCTCATGATTTAGATGGGGAGTTCAATGGGTTCATCAGACTGGACACATCATTAAATATTTTCTATGCAAGTACTGCATGGAGATTTGAGTTTATATAGTGTGTGGAATTGATTTCTTTTTGAAATAATTATCTTGATCTTTAGACCTAAAAAGCATTTCTATGTGAGCAGTTTGGGCAAGAAGGTCTTGTATGATAGAAAATGTTATTATGATTAGTTGAATTTGTTTGAGCCAAAATTTTTTGAATAGACTGTATTACAATATCTCTTTTGAGTCGTCATGTGTTCACAGCTTCACAGTATAACTAGGATATAGGTTCCTAAAAAATAAATAATTGAAATAAATTGTATGGTTTAAAAAACCTTATGGAGAAGTATGTTAACATTGAATTCCTGTAGGAAGTGGCACTCTCTTGCCAAATATTTACACATAGTATGTGGTTAAGCATTGTAACATCAACTCAAGGACCTAAAAAAGATTTGGCCCTTCCCTTATCTATTCTGTTAGATGTCTTTTGTAACTTCGTCACAGACTTGTACTTACGATCTGATTTTCTCCAACTGATTTGTAAGCTCGTAAGCTCGGGAATAATAGAAGTAGCATTTAGCTGCTAGCATGTTGAGACTTCGTCTGTTCTGCACTATAATCTTTGACATCAACAGCTCTGCACATGTCACAGCCTGCAAGAAATCATACCAGAATTGACTGCAATGATCCAAGAAAATATACCATAACCCAGCATCATTAGTATGCTGCAAGATTTGAATTAGGATTAGCATGCAGTTTCACAAGTCGGGAGTAATGTTTTGAAGTTTTGTCAACAAATCCTTATCCAAAGCATATGTCTCTGAACTTCGAGATGGTACTTTAATCAACAATTTCATAAGTTAACTTATTATGATATATTTGTTACTTCAGCTTACTTAAAGGGTAATTTATTTTTTGCAGCAATTATTTATTTTTCGCAGTTTATACATTGGGACAAATCAGCTAGACCATATGTTTAACTCTGTGAACACTTTTTTTAAAAAGTTAAAAAAATATATAACCTTTTAAAAAACTGTCTACAATGCACACCGAGAAATGATCTCTTTTACAAAGCATTGTTTTGACACCTAATCTATTGGTAATAGTGAATCCTATTCATAGATTTCTCAATAACAATAGCAAGCCTATTTGCGGGGCTCCTTTTGATCAAAATGAAAGAGAAAATGTACCACTGTGAAATACTACCAAATTTTTAACAAGGACTTCGAAGTTCAAATAACTTAATTAACGATTTCTTATATCATAAGGAAACATATTAAGTATGTTAAAAGTCAAAGTCTTTGCGTTTATATTCTTTTCGTGGTGAGGCAATGAATATTGCTACCGAGCTTTCAGCAGACTCTTCAGAGTATAGTTCTAACGACTCGAAAAACGTTTGAACTCTTTGGGTTTGAGAGAACCTGTTTGTATGTCATGTATTTCGAACCTGAGTATTTCAGGGAAATGATATTAGACTCATGAATTGCTAAATGCCAAGGGTCAAATTAAAGCTCTTGGATATAATGAATACTTGTGTCTAAGCCTAACTTACCATGCCATATTTCTGTAGGTCAATCAGATGAATCAGTATAAGGAGATGAAGATAGGTTTCTACTTCTGGTATTAATGCAACACTGGCGGCTTTGCCTGACTTGGGTCTGAATGGTGTATCTGGTCCATCTGATTCCATTGGCTAAAACAGAAAACATCAGAATGTACAAAGTGTAAAATTATTGAAAATCGTTCATGAAATTGTAACATTTTCCCTTCAAAATCAAAAGACGATGTCTCACACTTTTAGTATAGAGAACATTTGAAAGATATCACACGCTTGAACTGTTGAATGAATTTGACACTTGCACAGTCGGATGATATTTCTCAATTCATGTATATTGATTTTTTGTATATTATACCTACTACATGTATATCATCACATTGTTGGTATTGTTGTTTAAGAAATGTAAATATCTATAATTTGGCTCTAGCAATGAGGAGCCAATGCATTTATTTTGCATAATTTCCTAATTGAGTTTTTATAGTACATTAATGTCAACTACACTGAATTAAGTCACAATTTTTGGTTGTCATTATCATACCTGATACTACATAAATACATGCAATATGTACTTTAAAATTAACAATACCATTGATTAAAAGTTTTTTCAAGATTTTAATTGCTATTCTTTTTTATCAAGCCTAACTATATATATTGACTGAAATTTGTATTAATTTTATAAGTGGAGCACTTCATTTATGAACTTTCCAAAGACAGTTCTTGAAAGAAGACTTGACAAAAAATAATTAACTACCAGGTAATGATTAAATTGTATGGTACAAAAACACTGACAATTTTCTTTTAACTATTGGTTAAATTTTAAGGTATAAAATATTAACCTCATCAAGGAATTTGATAAGCTCTTCCTTCTGAGCCACCTGGTTGATCATGTAACCATTTAACAGCTTCCTCATCACCGTAGGATTGAGTCGTCGCCGAATGCCCACCAGACCTCGCATGACCCGCGATACATAACGAGGCTCCTTGGTAGAGACCGACTTCTCAATGTGTCGAACATGTTCTCTGATATCTGCAAATAAATAATATAACTCATAAATTATGATAATATACAGGGAGACTGAGGGAGTCCAACTTTAAATTTCATGATTATAACAGTATTAGAGGAGAGCAACCTGTAGCCTTAGGGCTGTTGTTTATCCTCATGAAACAAATAAAGACCAGTTTTAAAAAGTATATTGTAATCAAAATTTTCATTTATGTGAGCGGCTAGCAACCACATTGGAGAAAATGTGTACAGATGTCATCAAATGATCAATTCCTGATAGTAATACACTGTTTTTCTCTGCTGGAACTCAATTTGTTAACCACAGAAGTTCTGAATTATGATATAATCAGTTGTGAACATTTCAGTGCCCTTTTTGCTGCAGTAATATGCTATCATTATGCAGCTTTATTTTGCATTGTTTGTTTCATATCCCAAAGTTGATTGAGTCAAGTTTTTGGTAGAAAATAATAAATAAAGTAGAAAAAATAATTTAACAAAATGGCTGAATGTGTGAAAACCTTGCTGGGCACTTATTCCTCTGCTGAAACAATATTTGCGTAATTAAATCAGTAAATAACAATATTGTCCTCTCATAATGGCAACCCCAGGAGGAGTTGTTTTCAGACTATTGTGTTGTTGGAAATATGTTTACAGTGTAGGGGAATTGGACTGGGTTGATGGTCAGCGACGGGATTGCTGATGCCCAATTGGTAGAACGTCTGTCTAGAGTTTGGAGGGCACCAGATCCGAACCCTGGTCTCGCTGTGCATTTTTTTCGCTTCATGGTCAAAGACAAAGAAAAAGGAGGGATGAATGGAGCGGAACTGCACTGGGTTGATCGTCTGCAACTAGGTAGCTCAATTGGTTAGAGCATTCATCTAGAGTTGGGAGGGTTTTGTGTTCAAATCCCGGTCTGGCAGAGCATTTTTCCTGTTACATATTGTTTAAATTTCAATAAAGTGAAATGCATCGCCTAGACTGGGATTAAAATCTTGGACCCGTTCGAAATCCTGGTATAATACAAACTTGTTAACGCAAAATTGCAGTGTGGGATAATCCGTCATTGTCTCAGACGCTATGCCATTTTCTACACATTTATTTATAAACGACATACCTTTCAGATAAAAAAAAAAAGACCGTGGTTACATCAAGTAAGGGCATACCAACAGTACGCAAGCAAGAGTTTGCGATTAACTTATAAACACTGACAAACACTGACAGTACAGTAAACGGTCAGCAGTCAAAACATGGTGGTTGACTGCACATTTGAGAGTATAATTTGACCTATTAAAGTTATAATCTTCCATTATATACAACCAAAATATAACTAATTAAATCAACCTTCTAATGTCAAGACATCAGGATCTTTCTTTGGCTCCTCTGTGACACCATTCACGGTTTTTTCAGGCGTTTTGGTTTTCGTTACTCCCGGCATGATCTGCAGATTGTGAACACTATGGCGGAAGCAAATCCCGCAGCGAATAGAAATAAAAATAAACAGTTTTAATACAATAAAAACTTGAATGTTTAAATGTAATCATTAAAACATAATTCTTCATGATTTCGTCATTTGGTGTTTAAATTTTGATATAAATCATAATATTAAAAAACCCTTGTTGAACCAGTCTAAAAACGCGGGAAATTTTAAAATCAGATCGAGCGCGCACTTGTCAGCTGAACTTGAATATTCTTAGGCCTATATCCTTTCTGTAGTTTGATATTGTTTTAAATATAATATATTAAACTCTGATTGTTCTCGGAATGGATTTCACTTGAACCGTAAATCAAAGGCCTAGCTAGTCCGTGCTATATAACCACAGGGACCCGAGAATTCGTTAAAGCTATTGAGTTCCAGTGGCGGATCCAGAGACCTATCTGAAGGGGTTTCCATGTGGGGGAAATGGTGAATATACATGATTTTAAAGAAAATTCTTAGGTTGGCGGNTGGATCTAAACTTTGGTGTTTAGAGTAATTTTACCCGTTTCATGGGTTTAGATCAATTTCGTCAAAAAACGCCTAACGGGATTGAAAAGAGAAGGTGGAACATCTCAGTTTAACGTTAGGTCTAGGTATAGCTGTAACAAATTCTCAGGTCCCTGTGGATACAACGCCATTCAAGTTGACACAAGAGAATGTATACGAAAGTATTGTTTTTTATCGATAAAAAAACGATTGGATTGGATGTCAAAATATTTTATTTTGAAGTTATATATTAGTCTCTGGCCTGAAATAAATACATAAGATAGAAACAACAAAGCTTGCAACTTGTAAATCAAAAGTATCTTTAATAAATCAAAGCTCACAAATTAAATTATGTAAAAAAAATTACTGTTAAAGGATTCATAACGATTGTCTAAATACAGGAAATATACATATTTTTGAACAGATCTTCATAACTGCTGTATTGCACTTTTTCTATGAGGCCTGGTCTCTCGTTGAGAATATTACTCTTAAAATCCGTACAATCCGTTAAATCCTAAATGGTGACGGAGATGGGTATGATCAAGTGCGAGGAAAAAAATAATATGAAGCTTTATCAGAGATGCATATGAAGCATAACTTTTCACGCGTGACAGATTTTTATTTACATAGGATTAAGGTCGACTTAACTAGCTTCGAGCTAGAGGAAATGTCACTTTAGCCCATTGGTAGACCGTCCGACTAGGAACCTATGGATCATGGGTTCGATCCCAGTGGCGGACCCAGGGGTTTTGCCCTAGTTGCCCGGGCAACACCCTTTTTATGTGTCAAAAAATAATCTGGACTTAGATTTTCCTCTTTTTCATATGGGAATTTTCTTCTTATCTATATATGCCAAAGGGTGCAGTTGCCCAAACAAGGAGTCCACTACTTATACTCTAAACAAAAGGGGATTAATCCTCTTTTGTTTTTATATTAGTCTATTTGTCTACCTAATCGTATTGTTCTAATGTCACGGTGTGGTGATCACCCTGTCCGTTGAGAGATGATAAAACATCTGTTGGAATTAGGTATATATGTTAATTGTTATTTCAAAGGTAGAGTCCATTTCATGATAACCCTGTATTTTCACCTGTGGTTTCATGTACACATGATCACCAGGATAGATTTATTATACCTGTTAAACAATGTAAATTTCAAAATTTCAAAGACAATAAAGCATCCACCTTAGCATCACGTTATCAGGTGAATAATAACCAATGTTAGCATAAAAGCCTGGCATGTATATATATTTTTTTTTTTAACAGGGTTTGCCCTTGTACAAATGCATGCATACAAATTCACAATAATAGACAAACAGTCAAATCATAATTCATATTTATGACAAAATAAATCAATATTTAATTGCCAAAATGCTCGCCTAAACTACATGCACATGAAAGGCATGACACAAACATCAACATTTTAACCAAACACCTACATTTCTACCCTTGTTTCAGAGAAACACTCGCTCCGATCGGCCATCATAAAATCTAAATACTCTATGTTATAAAATATAACCTGGAATAATACCGCAAACTCAGAAAACTATGCTAGCCTTATTCGATCTGTTTGACAATGGAAATAATGTCCGATAAATTCTAGCTTTCTACGCTTGGCAGTGCTTGAACAAGTTTAGTATTACATCTTCAGAGAAAAAAAAATCGCATCGCTCTGCTCGGCAGGGAAATTATAATTGTCACAATCTCAGAAATAATGAAAATTATAATTTATTAGGTTATTTTAGTCTTTTTCTGAGTTTAAAATTTTGGGCAACACCCAGAATTAATTCCTGGGTCCATTGATTTCTGTATCATTTTTTAATTTCACACTATATTGGTGTTTATTCTGTCAATTTTTAATTTCACACTATATTAGCATTGTATATATATTCCACTTCATAGTGTTTTAATCCTAAGTCTGAAGTAATTCTTGTGTGATATACAAGTATTCATTCAATATTAAGTATGTCTATTATTTACTTATTCTGAATACTACTTATCTGTGATCACATTTAATACTTTTCATATATTAACACTGTTTTTATATATATATTGTTTCAAAAGGGTCAGATCCCGGGGGCCTTTGTAGGTAGAGGACTTTCCAATCACTTAGAGACCTGGGATATGACACTTTATTTTAATGTATGTGGTTATCTCCCTTTACTTGTAATTCAATGTGTTATAGGCCTAATGTTATTTTACATGTTTGTCGCAATAATAGCCCTCAAGAGCTTATGTTTTACGACGTTAAATAAAGTTTCTTGTACATGCTATGTTTATTTTGTTCATGTTACTGTAAATTATAAATATAAGTAATCACCTTGCGACTTTTCTACATTTACATGTCTATGTATGTATTTCACTGTGTTTCACTGTTTTGCCTTCAAACTACTCTGTAGTTACAAATGTGCAAATAAAATTTTGAATTTTGAATTTGAATTTATATTCAACTCAGGCATTTGTTTTGATAGTCCGTGATAATATACAATAGACTAGCCCGATGTTCGTAGTCAACATCTAGTATAATAAGTATGGGGTTACGCTCAATTGCTCTCTGGAGCGTATGTGAGCGTCGTTGTTACCCTGGATACCGAGGATAAACGATGAAGAATCCAACTACTTGATTTATAACTGCATCTTCCGATCTGAACCGAGAATCATTTACAATACCGCACCACAATTCATTTTATAGTGCCAAAAGTATGTGCGGTTTCCAAAAATAAATAAAAAAATCTAAATTTCATCCATTGGATGTTTTCTGGGATTCAGTGCAAAATAATGTGGGGTTTAAGTTTTTTTATTTTTTTATTTCATGCATATTTTAAAAATTGGAATGTTCCGGGTCTTATTTATTATAGCGCTAGTGAAACAAAATTTCGCATACTGAAGGTACCTTGCTACACAATCTGAGAATATCGTCACATATTTGTGTTGACTGGTTTTCGAGGTATGACAAGTTATTCAGATGAAATTGATTAACTGAACTATGCCGTTTTCTTCTGTCTTTCAAAATAGTGGCAGTGACATTTTATTTCCGAAAATAACTCACCCGGCCTAAGCAACTCATTTAACGGAAAAATATGAAAATGTTGTCAAATAAACAAATTTATGAAACATTATATCCGGAGATTCATGAAATCAGAAACATATATAAAGACTATCTTTGATGAAAAATACGTTTGGCACGTTGTTGTATCCGTTAATCCAAACACCCCTTTCAGATGACATGTAAGCATATTTCCGTAAACGTTTTTAGAATAGTCAAGCCATATCATCTGCAAGTTTTGTCATGGAAATAATTATCTGCAGATCAAGAGATATCCTTTCATTGAAGCAAAACCGAGGTAATCTTTATTTCTAATTCTATTGACATGAATGAAGATTTTAATTTAAAATTTGATGGAAAAGACTAAAATTTTACAGACCATCATAAGCATCTGGGAGTAGTTTTAATTCTAGCGCAAAGAGGGGGATCATATTAATGCCGTTTATAGTTCAGTAATGAAGAATATTTGCTAAATAGGAATACTCTTTTAAAAATTTATAAATCATTCATTTGACCAGTTTTAGAATATGCTTGCGAATTATGGGATGGTTGCACTAAATTTGAATCAGAAAAATTAGAGAAAGCCCAAAGAGAAGCTGCTCGATTTATATCCGGTCTTCCTTCATATGCCCGTATCGAAGACTTACATTTTGAAACAGCTTTAGAAACTCTTTCTAATCGTCGAAAACGTAGAAAACTCCAACTTTGATACAAAATGCAAAACAACATAACTCCAGATTATTAAAACGATCTCCTGCCATCTACTATTGCAGAAAATAACAGGTACTGCAGTACACTCTTAGTTCCTCTATTTGGGCTTTCTCTTACCAATCTTTCCTTTATACCTTCCACTATTCGTAGCTGGAACTCCATAGATCAATCAGTACGATCGTTGCCTTCTATACATTTATTTAAAAACGCTCTTACTTCAAATGTACAACCATCCCCTCCTATCTACTTCAGTTTTGGAGAACGTAAATTGAATATTATACATACTAAACTGAGGCACAATTGTAGTTCCCTTAAGTATGACCTTTACAGAGTTAATCTTGTCGAAAGTCCATTTTGCATCTGTGGACATCCATGTGAGAATGCCTTTCACCTTTTTTTTGAGTGTCAACTTTTTAACAATGAAAGGCGTATTTTGTTTCAAAATTTGAATGCCTTTTAAATTTAGATTTTCTTTTGTTTGGCAACCAGATCATTCGGTAGACATTAACTTTTAAGTTTTTAGACATGTGCATTGATCACTTCATCAACTCCAGCAAAAGATTTTGAACGGTGCTTTTTTAGGTTGTGTATTTGTACATGTGTGAATATTAGATATATATATGTTTTAACAAATTTTATTATATATATATATGAAGGATCATTTTTCTGATTTATGATATATATATTAACATATATAAATAGATAAGATAACAGGCTAGGCCTATATCAATCTCCTCCAAGATGGTGTAAGTATGACATTATATGTATATACATGTAATCAATAAGCTATTTATATTATTGTATTAAACTCATACACTCAATCATACATTCATTCAAGTATCTACTGACACTCTCTATACACACTCATGTCAATACTCAATAGATATATCTATCTACTTCATGTTTATGTCTTAAATCAATGTTGACATGTAATTGTAAATGTATGACGGGAGAGGGCTGTGATAAGTTGTAAAAACTTCACAATCCCTTGTAAATGTTCAATTTTATTGGCAATAAATATGTTTAAAATAAAATTGAAGTAAAATTCTCAATGGATTTCGAAGATTTTCAATGATCATTGTGACTCGTACGGACCTGCTTTCTTTTCATGGTAATTGTTTTATTCTTTATTTGCATAACGTGTTGAGTGTCATACTGTTGTACCCATCCTCCCCATTCATCTTTTTGGAGAAAATAGTTCACATAGTTGTGATGACTTGAAATTGTTTATTATAGCGCACCTACGCCTATAGTGTGTATCATAATAATACGATATTCTGTCTATCTGAAATTCAATGCCATGTCGCCAGATTGAGAGCTTACATTAGAACGGACTATAGAAATGTACATCGCTGCCCCCAGCCAATCAGAAAAGTTCTGACAAGGATAGCATGAAAAATCAACATGGCAGAGCACAGTAAAGGAGGCATTTTCACGAAAGCGCAAAAAACTTTAACTCGTACAAAAGCTAAGGTGAGTGGAACTATTTACCCTGTCAGACTCGACTTGAATTATATATTTGAACATGCTTTTATCAAATTAATGTAGGAAAGTCGACGTTTGAGTGTGAATTTTGCGGTTGGTGTAACAGGTGTTGGCGACTGACAGCAGTGGTAGTGTGTATACAGTATATATATAGGAGTGTATCGTCTTGTGTTCTGTACTCAGCGTGAAATGTGTGTCACACATTGTCAACACGCTGCTCTCAAACGGAGTCCAGTTTGTGTCCTCGTATGGCTCATCGTTTAATGCAGTCTTTTGTTTTTGACGAGATGACATGATTCATTTAACAAATTAACGAAAACGAAAGTAAACGTCAACAATTTTGTGATGTAAACACGGAAGTATAATATGTGTCGCAGTGTTTTAAACGTGATACGAATATATAACGCTTCGATGCTTAACAAATGTTTATATTTTTCAGTTTAAATTTTTTTTTGTCTTGTTTTGTTGTTTACATTGCAGTGATTGTCATTCAAAACCTTGACCAGTTGACCACAGTGCTAGAGCTCAGTATAGGGATTAAGCAGATATATATTGATACCTTAGGCGTGTTGGTATATAAATACCTTGTGTAGATTCAACAGATAGATATATGATTTAACCTAGTCAGGCTAACTTTGTCACAAATATACACAGGTGTAGGTAAAATGGTGGTGAAGTGTTCACATAGAGAAGAAATGATAAAGAGACTTAGATATGAAGCTTTGTTATAACCACTGTTTATTGTCAGATGAAAAACAAAAATCATACTCTTGTTGGTTACTTTAAGTACAATATTATCTGAATTAAGTATTACATTACTGTAGGTAATTCAGAGAAATAATAAAATTTGTATCTAACAAAGATTCGTTTGTAAGTGTTTGATAAATGTAATTAGGGATGACAGCTGACATTTCTTTTTAGCAGCAATCTAATATATATGTCAGAAGGAAAACACTAAACTTGTCTTGCAGTTTGTCAAATTAAATATTTAAAAAATCTATATACAGGTGAATATATATAATACATATCAGAACTTGTAAACAAATAAATAAAAAAGAAAATGTTATGCTGTTATTGTTTCTTTTGAAATCAATTCTTTTAAATGTTTTAACTCATTCACCCCTGAAGTCACATTTGAACCCCTCCAATTCAAAGGTTAGAATAGTTCATTATGTTATTTCAGGGGTGAATGAGTTAAGGCCTAAACATAATTGGGTTTCTGGTGTTACCAACTAAAAAGCATGGGTAACATATATAGTAGGTACATCACGGAATTAGATTAAGTCCGTGGGTACATGTAGGGATTCAAGGTAAATATTGTATCATACATTTATCGGTTATATTGAATGAGAAAAATTTAGGGTATGAGACTTGGTTGTCAAAACTAGGTACGGTAGGGAAACTTTGCAGAAACAAGCAATTTATTCTTTTAGGCCTTAATAACTGATTTGATATAGAAAATCTATCATGTTGGATTCATGAAAATTTCTTACAAAATTGTGCTACGGATTTATTGTCGACTTCACATGTGTATTCTAATTTATTTTACATGTAAGTGTGATGTGCATGTGTCACTGTAGGTATAAATAGGACAAATGAAACTGTATAAATTTCTGTTATATTCTGGCAGATTTGAAAATTAATTTGTTCACATGTTTTGTGTCATTGTTTCAAATGAAAGACCTTCTGTGTCTAAAGCTTGAAGGAATTTTCTGTTACATAAATAATTATGCAATAAAAGGAAGACGGTGAATATGCATGACACCTACTATTTATGACAGTATAAAACCAAGCACTGAATAACCCTTTCAACTCATGAAGTACTAGTACCCAGGGTGATAATTGAGTTGAATGTGGTTCTTATTATTTGTTGACACGAGTGGACACGGGGCATTGTCTGAGGGTATCAGATATCTAACCATTACAGGTAGGCATGGCCCTGATACTGATAGCACAGGTGAAGCGTAAGTATAGCCTATGGTCAGACAGAAAACAATTGAAAGGACATACCTGTCACTCTGACTGACGTGCGGCGCTAGCCAGGTACACACCTCAATGTATAGCTTCCAGGCAATAGACAGGTATAAGGACTTAAAGTATTGATACACATCGTAAAACAGATAGTAGTTGGTCAGATAGTGGGAATCTCAAATCAGTAGTTGTATCTCCCATACAGGGCCAGCGCTTCTTCAGTAAGAATATCACATGATCAATTTATGTTCGTGGGCTCACTCTGTCCAGGCCAAGTATATATGTATTCAACATCTTGTGTTGAATTGTTTTTAAATTTTTGGGCACTGTTTTGTAAAGAAAGTGGCTATTTACAGGACCTATTAAATTTGTACAGGTTAAATGATAAAAATAATGTGACCAAGTCTTGCGCATGTAGAGCTGTAGTTTAACAGTTTTTGACTGATCATCACATGGAGATAATCTACTACCACTGCCATTTAATTTCCCGGTATGTTGCCAAGGTCTCTGTCCTTTTCTCTATGTGTTAATTAGATACTTATTGCAACATCTGTTGTCTACTGTAATGTTAGGGGACTTTGGTATGTTAATTGCAAGATTATTTGTTTTTCAGTCTTATTTTCAAATTTGGAAAATGGAAGTTCAGTGTCCATACAGTATATGGTGCACTATTAAAATCTCAAATTTAAAACTGACCATCTTTCTAACATCTTACTGAACAAAAGATTTTCTGATTAGAAAAGCTGGCTCAAGTTTCCTGTGAAAATCACTCGTCCTTGACTTAGTGTTTGAAAAGGGCCCTGCACCCTTGAAGATCAATGGTTTGCCTATGGATACGTCCGGCTCAGCTGGCCGGTAATGGGTATCAGTGAGGAAGAGAAGTCCACTACTACGGCTATTTAGGGAGGAAAGGATTAAATTTGAGTGTTGACTGTGAATGCACTCAGATGTATCTTCTAATCTTAGATTGATCTCTGATGTTCTATCAGATTTACTTTGAAGCTTTTAAATACTGTACTTTTCCTAAGGGAGTCCTTGCCCTTCAATTGTACTGATGCTTTTAAATACTGTAGCTTTATTCATCCTAGAGAGGGCCTTTGCTCTGTCAGAATTTTGAGAAGCCTTAAATCCTAAAGATGGCTCATTGTCTTGAAGCTATTAATATGTTAATGCGGTACTTATGCAAAGTTACTACTGCACTTACACTAATTTACAACTCTATCACTGTATTTACACCTTTTTACAACTCTATCACTGTATTTACACCTATTTACAACTCTATTACTGTATTTACACCTATTTACAACTCTATCACTGTATTTACACCTATTTACAACTCTATCACTGTATTTACACCTATTTACAAATCTATCACTGTATTTACACCTANTAATTTACAACCCTATCACTGTATTTACACCTATTTACAACTCTATCACTGTATTTACACCTATTTACAACTCTCAGATCACTGTATTTACACCTATTTACAACCCTATCATTGTATTTACACCTATTTACAACTATCAGATCACTGTATTTACACCTATTTACAACTCTATCACTGTATTTACACCTATTTACAAATCTATCACTGTATTTACACCTATGTACAACTCTATCACTGTATTTACACCTATATTTACCGGTTTATCTACAATTGTACACCTTAAATCCAGTCTACCACTCAATCTACACTAATTTACCTATTGTCGAATGTAAGGATGAACATCTTGTAAACATCCTTGCTTTAATTCATTCAAAAGAGGAATTAGAATGATACATGGATCTTACTGTAGTGGCCAAGATGAATGATATTAATTAAGGAATCTGTTTCCCATAAAGCATTGTCAGCTTGAGTTACTTCACCTGGTGGATTTATTTCTTCTGATCAATCCAGGTGTGGGTGTATATTCTCATATAAAAGCTGTAAATTTTGAAAGGACCCTTTGAAAATATGATCTAATGTGTTTAAATTTATTCAGAACTTTTGATGAAAGTTTATTCAAAGGCATTATTGTTGATGACTTATTGTAAAAGCTAACATACTCATACAGTTTCTTTAGAAGAAAGATGTCTGCCACCCCTGAGTTTGACTATGTAACATTCCATTTCAACAATGAGGGATAATCCATGTGGGAAATTTAGGGACGATAATTACATACACCTGTACTGATGGGATGTTCTTGTAGCTGACATTACTTTGAAGTGATTTACTTTCTTCATCATAGATATCTGTAAAGTTATAGGCCAAACAAAATAATTGGTTCTTTTAGGATAAGGATAAGTGAGGTACAAAATTTTGCAAAATATTTTATTGAAGGCTTTAATAGTTCCTGTTTAAAATTAATAAAGGAAGGGATTAAGGTTAGTTAATGAAAGTAGGTCAATGCTTTAATAGATAAATAATCACAAGAAATTTCAACCTGTGATTACTTAAGTCTTAAGTCATTAATGTTAGTTTCTGTGTGGGAAGGACAGAGCCCCACTGAGTACATTTGGTATTCAATAATACTGATAACACCACTCTCATCCCTGTCCTTGAATACTAATCTAGACCTGTGACCGTGCCAGTTGAGTAAACACAGAGATTTACTGGCCATCCAGCATTCCTGTCCTCTTCTCCATAGTATCGCTCAACTTAACATTTTACTTTGTCCCCAAGGGTCATGAACAAACATCGATTTCTCCACTGTTCAATGGATCTGGCTTCGACAACCGACCTATCAGACAAAAAATCAAACCAATTGATCAAATTGCCTCCAGTACGATAGATATGGAAATAAAGTCACCTGATGCAAACGTTACAAAGATTTTGATAATAAAAGTGACTACACGTGTATTTATGAGCAGAGTTCCAGTATCTTTAACCTGAAGTCTAATGTGTGTAATTTAGATTAGATGACTGTTAGGCATTAGATCAGTAACATACCTAAACTTGAGAGCTTATGATTGCAATCTCATCTCTAGTGTTCCATACTGGGGAAATGGAAATGTATTCATGTGTATACCCATCATAGATGAAAATGCATTCTTTTGTGTGCCCATTATAGCATAATTATGCAAGTTATTCATGCCGAGTCATGTTACAGATAATCTTTGGAATTACCATTTTATGGATCACAGGATCATGAAATAGCTTTGTGATGTGATGTGTAGAAATTTCATTTGCATCTCTCATAATTACCTGTACATGTATCAGTGAAAGTTTTGTTATTTTGTTTTTGAATGAAGATGTTAAAATAGAACGATTCTTTTGCTAATTGTGTCTTTACCTGGTGTTTTTATCCTTAACATTTTTATGATACTTTTCCTGTAACAGGTATATATTGGTATCTGAAATAGGTCTTGCTCAAAACTTTGTTGGTATATAATGTTTTAATGAGAATATTTATAAAGTTTAATTAACTTTTAGACATGTATTTGGTGCTGAAGGTTTTTACTTTGAAGGCCAATTAAACAAGAAATAATCAAGGTATCATTCCATATTCACCATAGAGAATTATGACCTATACATAGTTTAGGATTTATGGGCTATTTTTAGATTATTTTGTACAATGAGAGGACTGCGATCAACAGACAGAGTGGTTAAGGTGTTTGACCATCTCACCATCACTAGCCCCTCCACCACTGGGTTGTGGGTTTGACCATCTTACCATCACTAGCCCCTCCACCACTGGGTTGTGGGTTTGACCATCTTACCATCACTAGCCCCTCCACCACTGGGTTGTGGGTTTGACCATCTTACCATCACTAGCCCCTCCACCACTGGGTTGTGGGTTTGACCATCTTACCATCACTAGCCCCTCCACCACTGGGTTGTGGGTTTGACCATCTTACCATCACTAGCCCCTCCACCACTGGGTTGTGGGTTTGACCATCTTACCATCACTAGCCCCTCCACCACTGGGTTGTGGGTTTGACCATCTTACCATCACTAGCCCCTCCACCACTGGGTTGTGGGTTTGACCATCTTACCATCACTAGCCCCTCCACCACTGGGTTGTGGGTTTGACCATCTTACCATCACTAGCCCCTCCACCACTGGGTTGTGGGTTTGACCATCTTACCATCACTAGCCCCTCCACCACTGGGTTGTGGGTTTGACCATCTCACCATCACTAGCCCCTCCACCACTGGGTTGTGCGTTTGACCATCTTACCATCACTAGCCCCTCCACCACTGGGTTGTGGGTTTGACCATCTTACCATCACAAGCCCCTCCACCACTGGGTTGTGGGTTTGACCATCTTACCATCACCAGCCCCTCCACCACTAGGTTGTGGGTTTGACCATCTTACCATCACTAGCCCCTCCACCACTGGGTTGTGGGTTTGACCATCTCACCATCACTAGCCCCTCCACCACTGGGTTATGGGTTTGACCATCTTACCATCACTAGCCCTTCCACCACTGGGTTGTGGGTTTGACCATGGTTAGCTTATATGGATTAGGGGAACATTTTGTTTCCCTGCAATTAACCATGTTTCACTTGGGCTTTAGCCTCATGAAACCTGATTAATCTAGGGAAAACAGAATGTGTTTCTCTACCACGAGGGCAGTCAATTTATGATGTATTTTTTTTACCTGTATTGACTTAAGATATGTACTATAAATGTAAACATGTCGACCACACCTGAAGGGATTGTATGTGTTTTGACCTTATATAGTGTGAATTTTGTTGATTCCAAATTGGACTTAAAAATCACATGATAACTTGACTGCGTGAGGAGAATTTGATCTGGTGAAATTTACGAGTTGAATGTTTTGTGAATTGTCAAAGTTTTATTCATATACATGTGTTCGAAAAAAACCCTGAAGATAAGGGTCATTCACCTGTTCCTATCTGTATCAAACATTCCTACATTATTACAAGGTGATGTCTCCATACTTAAGTGGATATAAATTAATACTGTTGCCCTAGGCAATGTCCAATACCATGCAAAAATTGTATCAGTAGCTAGTTTATAACCCGGGGCAGAACAGAGGTGTCCCCAGGTCCCTCGACTGTAACACCTATAGTCGAGGAGCTTCCATCTTTTCTCCGACTGTTTATGATCATAAACAAACAATAACAAAGTCCTATTAACATGTCAAGAGAAGAGAGTGTCCAGAATGTCATTATTATCAGTAACAATCACTAGTGCTAGCTTTTATCATGTACAAATGTTATAAGTTCTCTAAACATTTTGTCATGATATTTCTGGAATCTTTCCAGAATTCTGTTTGGAAATAAAAAAGATCATGCAACTTTGATTAATCTTTGAAATTTGATACCATCCAATGGAAAATTGGTATATTATAGGCAAAATAGATGAAAATAAGGATTGATAAGGACAAAATTTTGAACTGATCATTTCAACATGGGGACTAATGATATATGCTGCCTTAAGCTAGTTTTGATGTCCAACAGCAAAACATACATGAATAGTTCTGATGATTACCATAAACTTGCATATTATGGAAAATGTCAAAATTAAACCTAACATCAATGATTTTGAATATGGGCAGTGGTAGGCAGTGTTTATTAGCATTGGTTTATATAATGATGATGTCTAGATCAGACATAACAAGCAGAGGAAATGCTAGGATGTTATATCGGAGCTGGTACATAGACAGGGATCCAAATCAAGCAGTGATCCAGATTATACAGGGATCTGAATTAAACATTGATCCAGATTATACAGGGATCTGAATTAGGCGGGGATACAGATTGGACAGGTAAAATTATGCAGTGTGTGAAGTGTAGGTATATACATTGTATCATTAAAGTATTATATAGATCAAAGACAAGATAGCAATTAACTTGATGATACTGTTATCTTACCTAGACCAGTGATATGTTTTCTACAAACAAAACTTTGTATACAGGATATATTCAAGGACATTGTTTTGTGATAGTAAATTATCTCAAGTACACACACACCTCAAGGAAAGCTCTGTATTAGCTTTTGTCTTTTCATTTCAGGTCCTACAGAATCTTGGAAAAGCTGGAAAAACATCAGATGAAAAGTTAGATGAATATGTCCACAAACTCGACAAACAGCAGGTAAATGCAATATTAAAATATTTTCCAATGAATTTTTTTTGGCTTCTGAAAAATTAAAGAGTTAGAGGAAAAATATAGTAAAATTGATTTCTTTTTCAACCTTCAGCTCTTCAGAAACAATGAAAATCATCGAAGCTTTAAAAAAACAACATGTTTTTGTATGCCTTGTATTGCTATAATGCTTTCATTGTGATCTCAGTAATTTTTGGGACTCGAATATTAGTCCCAGACTCTTTTTGTTTTGCTTTCCCTCAACTCATCAACCTTTTGAGGACCTATATACATTGTATCTCTAAGTAATTGGAATATAGGGACTTATCATAAATTTGAAAGAGAGTTCAGGACTTGTCTGAAAAAATTCTACAAAAACCACTGGATCTGTATAATACTGTTAAAGAAAGCATTCGGATGTCATCTCATTTCTAAAATGGGTGCCTGTGAAAAAAGACGCATCATTTTCATGGAATGAATGAAAACTTTTGCAGGGAAACTGTAATAGCTAAGTGTTATCCAACAATCTATCCTTGTGTGTGTACCCTGTATGTATATGTAGTCCACACTTGTGGTGCGACATGTCTCCTCGCTGGTTTTATTGATGTAATACTGTATACCCTGTATGTATATGTAGTCCACACTTGCGGTGCGACATGTCTCCTCGCTGGTTTTATTGATGGAAAACTGTATACCCTGTATGTATATGTAGTCCACACTTGTGGTGCGACATGTCTCCTCGCTGGTTTTATTGATGGAAAACTGTATACCCTGTATGTATATGTAGTCCACACTTGCGGTGCGACATGTCTCCTTGCTTGTTTTATTGATGTAATACTGTATACCCTGTATGTATATGTAGTCCACACTTGTGGTGCAACATGTGTCCTCGCTGGTTTTATTGATGTAATACGGTATACCCTGTATGTATATGTAGTCCACCCTTGCGGTGCGACATGTCTCCTCGCTCGTTTTATTGATGTAATACTGTATACCTAGTATGTATATGTAGTCCACACTTGTGGTGCGACATGTCTCCTCGCTGGTTTTATTGGTGTAATACTGTATACCCTGTATGCATATGTAGTCCACACTTGCGGTGCGACATGTCTACTCGCTGGTTTTATTGATGTAATACCGTATACCTTGTATGTATATGCAGTCCACACTTGCGTTGCGACATGTCTCCTCACTGGTTTTATTGATGTAATACTGCATACCCTGTATGTATATGTAGTCCACACTTGTGGTGCGACATGTCTCCTCGCTGGTTGTATTGATGTAATACTGTATACCTAGTATGTATATGTAGTCCACACTTGCAGTGCGACATGTCTCCTCGCTGGTTTTATAGATGTAATACCGTATACCCTGTATGTATATGTAGTCCACCCTTGCGGTGCGACATGTCTCCTCGCTGGTTGTATTGATGTAATACTGTATACCTTGTATGTATATGTGGTCCACACTTGCGGTGCGACATGTCTACTCGCTGGTTTTATTGATGTAATCCTGTATACCTTGTATGTATATGTGGTCCACACTTGCGGTGCGACATGTCTACTCGCTGGTTTTATTGATGTAATACCGTATACCTTGTATGTATATGTAGTCCACACTTGCGTTGCGACATGTCTCCTCGCTGGTTTTATTGATGTAATACTGTATACCTTGTATGTATATGTAGTCCACACTTGCGGTGGGACATGTCTCCTCGCTGGTTTTATTGATGTAATACTGTGAACTCTGCAGACTGGTGAATCAGCTTTTCTGTAGTTATCACAAAATGTGTTGTGACTTTGCTGAAATATACACCTCAAATTACTGAAATTTGCCTTAAAGTTAGTGTCACGAGAAACCTGCAAACTTGTCATACTTTCAGTTTGATAAATTCCGTATCTACTTTGTGGTTAAGTTGAAGGGACATTATTAGTAACTTTTCTCATGTATGTATATTTGATTTAAATGGCAAATTAAATTACTCATTAAAACATAAAATTTATAATTTTTTTGTGGTATTATAAATGATTTACGTTTGTAAATTTATATCTAAAACCCACTTTTTAATTTGTATTCAGCTTTATTGATCAACTATTTTGTTTTTGTACTGATATATAACACACTGCATTGCAATTGCTGAGTAAAAATATTTCACTTTCAACAGGAAACTGCAAACAAATTCCAGAAGGAACTGCGCACCTACATAAATGCTGCCAAAGGTAGGTGCTGTTTAACGTAGCTTGTAATCATAACTCGTCTGTAACTTGTATACTATTAGGTTTACTGAAGCTGTAACTCAACTGTAACTGGTAACTCGTCTATAACTTGTATACTATTAGGTTTACTGAAGCTGTAACTCAACTGTAACTGGTAACTCGTCTGTAACTTGTATACTATTAGGTTTACTGAAGCTGTAACTCAACTGTAACTGGTAACTCGTCTGTAACTTGTATACTATTAGGTTTACTGAAGCTGTAACTCAACTGTAACTGGTAACTCGTCTGTAACTTGTATACTATTAGGTTTACTGAAGCTGTAACTCAACTGTAACTGGTAACTCGTCTGTAACTTGTGTACTATTAGGTTTACTGAAGCTGTAACTCAACTTTAACTGGTAACTCGTCTGTAACTTGTGTACTATAAGGTTTACTTAAGCTGGTCTGATCCTTGTCAGATTGCTAGTCCTAATGAGTCGGTATAACAGGAGTCGGCCGTCAGAATTCTGGATGTATATTGTATTGTTTGTAATAGAAACCAATTCTTGTGCAACCGTGTTTGTGAGATGTTGCAGAGTAGTTGTTTAACTCATTCACCCCTGAAAACACATTTGAACTCTTCCAATTCAAAGGTTGGAATAGATCATTATGAAATTTCAGGGGTGAACGGGTTAAACTTGAAAATATTTAAAATATTTGATAATGCTAAGCATGATGTAATCCATTAGCTGTACACACTGTTTGTATTTGTGTTCTCTACTGTGAACAATAGAAGTAGAATTACATCATTACACATGTGTTTCTCATCACACTTAGGTAATGTTTATCGATCCCTAGGTATAAAATATTGGATCTAAGTGGGGGTTTTTTGTGAAACAAAACAAAATATAATCCACACAAAACTGTCCTTGGACTATCAGCGAGTCTGAACAAACAAAGCTATCCCCACAAAACTGTCCTTGGACCATCAGTGAGTCTGAACAAACAAAGCTATCCCCACAAAGCTGTTCTTGGACCACTAGTAAAATTGAATTCTAAAAAACACTCCTTTGAATATTTGGTGAAACTGAATTCCCACAAACTTTCATTGTAACATCAGTGAAATTGAGTCCCCACAAATGTTCAATTGGAAGCTTCAACAGTTGAAATTGAGACATTGGTGACTGTGTCTCCATGGAAACTGTCTTTGGGACATCAATGATAACTGTGTCTCCATTGAAACTGTCTTTGGGACATCAATGATAGATGTGTCTCCATGGAAACTGTCTTTGGGACATCAATGATAACTGTCTCCATGGAAACTGTCTTTTGGACATCACAGATAACTGTCTCCATGGAAACTGTCTTTGGGACATCAATGATAACTGTTTCTCCATGGAAACTGTCATTGGGAAATCAATGATAACTTTCTCCATGGAAACTGTCTTTGGAAAATCAATGATAACTGTCTCCATGGAAACTATCTTTGGGACATCAATGTTAACTTTGTCTACATGGAAATTGTCTTTGGGACTTCAATGATAACTGTGTCTCCATGGAAACTGTCTTTGGGACATCAATGATAACTGTGTCTCCATGGAAACTGTCTTTGGGACATGATTAATAACTGTGTCTCCATTGAAACTGTCTCTGGGATCTCAATGATAACTTTGTCTCCATGGAAACTGTCTCTTGGACATCATTGATTACTGTGTCTCCATGGAAACTGTCTCTTGGACATCAATGATAACTGTGTCTCCATGGAAACTGTCTCTGGGACATCAATGATAACTATGTCTCCATGGAAACTGTCTTTGGGACATCAATGATAACTGTGTCTCCATGGAAACTGTCTCTGGGACATCAATGATAACTTTGTCTCCATGGAAACTGTCTCTTGGACATCAATGATAACTGTGTCTCCATGGAAACTGTCTCTGGGACATCAATGATAACTGTGTCTCCATGGAAACTGTCTCTTGGACATCAATGATAACTGTGTCTCCATGGAAACTGTCTCTTGGACATCAATGATAACTGTGTCTCCATGGAAACTGTCTCTTGGACATAAATGATAACTGTGTCTCCATGGAAATTGTCTCTTGGACATAATTGATAACTGTGTCTACATGGAAACTGTCTCTGGAATCTCAATGATAACTTTGTCTCCATGGAAACTGTCTCTTGGACATCAATGATAACTGTGTCTCTATGGAAACTGTCTCTTGGACATCAATGATAACTATGTCTCCATGTAAACTGTCTTTGGGACATCAATGATAACTTTGTCTCCATGGAAACTGTCTCTTGGACATCAATGATAACTGTGTCTCTATGGAAACTGTCATTGGGACAGCTGCATTTGGGACATCAGCAGGACTTAACAATAAGGGTAGCCCGATAGTCTGAGATTAGTAAAATCTCTAGCTCTACTAGTGGTTCTAGAAAGCACTAGCCCATGACCAGTTGACTAATCAAAATTAGATATTGTATATCTTGTGGAATAATACAAGGTATCAGGTTAGTGGAATTTGTACAAGGACTAGTAAAAAACGGGAAACTACTACCACAATTGACTAGTGGTATTCAAAACAACGATATAACAAGTTTCAAAAAGCTGTCTCTGTAACATCAGTGATAAAGGTGTCTTCATTGAGTCATCATGAAGCTGTCTTTGGGATATCAGTGATGTATCAAATGTCCAAGATGCTGTCTTTTGACATCAGTGATAAATGTGTCTCTGTGGAAACTGTCTTCGGGACATAAGTAAAAGGAGTTGTTTTAAAGCTGTCTTTAGGACATCAGTGATGTATCAACTGTCCAAGATGCTGTCTTTTGACATCAGTGATAAATGTGTCTCCGTGGAAACTGTCTTTGGGACATAAGTAAAAGGAGTTGTTTTAAAGCTGTCTTTGGGACATCAGTGATGTATCAACTGTCCAAGAAGCTGCCTTTGAGACATTTATGATATATCATTTATGATATATGTCTTTTGGAAATAAGAAGTCGTCATAAAGCTGTTTTTGGGACTTCAATGATAACTGTGTCTCGATGAAAACTATTTGGGACATAAGTAGAATTCAGTCCACTAACTACTGTCTTTAAAACTTGAGTGAAAATAAGTCACTACAAGAAAATTGAGACAGCAAAGAGTTACCAGCGTCAGTGAGCACATATAGGGGTAGATTGTCTGACCCACACAAAGTTCAGGAACATGGGCAAGGTGGTAAAGTGATCAAGCGTTTAACATCATTTTTGTCTGTACATTTGGTAGTGATAAAGGTTATCAATACAATTTTCTTTGTATGATTTAAATAAGCTTGAAAAAGATATTGCTGAGGGGATACTTTGTTCTACAACAGAGGCAGATGTTGGAGGGATAGAGGTAGTCGCCTAGCTGACTATATGTTTCAGGAAATCTGACACCTGTAAACGTTTACCAATGGATAACGAGGATATAATCACCAAATGTCACGAATAAAAGCCTGGGGCAAGTCGCAAATGTTCCGACAGTCAAGTCTACTTTTTTTTCCTAGATCATTTATCATAGAACTCTAAAACTAAAGTCAAGATGTAGGATTTTTTTTCTAAAATTGTGAGAAAAGGTGCACAAACGTTTGCTTGGTGTTGGGAGCATCACTTGTCATTGGCAATACATGATCATGTGTAATTGTTGGGACAAGTGACATGGGGAGTTACCTGTAACGAGATACTCAGGTGTGTAGGTACTGTTTACAGGTGACGCGTGAAGCTGCCCCTTAGGCTTATAGAGTCACCCAGCCTTATGCTTTTCTGTTGGGTATACAGATGTTATGTTTATCTGCAGGTATATGCATTCGTTCAAAGGTGTAGTAGGATTCAATTTGTTTGCAAGTTTAAAAAAAATAAAAATTGTTCTCAAATATAACTTGAATACCGTAAGGTTTAAACATAATATACCTGGTACACATACATATAATATAACATACATAAAAGTTAAGCTTAGCTCTGGTAAATTATAAGCTTATGTTTTCATGCAACATCTGTGATCAAAATGTCACCAACCTTAAAAAAAAAGAATATGGGACTGTTGTAAATAACATTATGTAGATCTTGTTGGCTGATCTGCTGTAGCTACCAGTGAGTTTGTGAAGTAGCCAGGTGACATATTGGTTCCTAAAGGGCCAGACAAAATTTAAGGCGTCTGACATTCTGCTACTTTAGCTACTAGCCCTCCACCACTGGGTCGTGGGGCAGTCGCCAGGTACTGGCCGTAGGTCTGTGTGTTTTCTCTGTGAACTCCTGCTTTCCTCCACAACCTTAAATGACCATAGATGTTGATAGGACGTAAAACACAAACAAACCAAACTTACTTGTGAAAAATATAAATTTCCAATAATCGCATATTATATAGTACAGTGCATGCATATGACAAAGTGATATTTCAGGTGTCAAAAAAATGTATATACCGTATGTAAATAAAATGTTTTCCTGTCATTCCAATAACCTATTTATTTTGGAGCTGAAGCAGGAAACAACACAATTTTCAGGCTAACCCTATATAGATATATGTTGTTTGATATTGCATTGCTACATATTTTGGAACATTTACTATTGTATGTTAAAATATGACCAGAACTTTATGTTAAAAACTCTTCATTAACTTTAAACTTCATTTTTTGATTAAAAAGATTAAAGTTAAGGGAAGGATTTACAAGTCTTATAACTGTATGGAAATGTGTCAAAATGGATACTAAGGTAGGTAGTCAGAGGGATGATGATACAATCGCGGGAAAGCTGTGTAGTACAATATACAAGTGACAGTGACTCCAACCGACAGTGGCTCAATGGTGTGTACGCCTGACCTACATACAGCTGGGAAAACTCATATTACATGCATCACCGACTTTGAAGTATTTGTCTCCATAGCTATGTAGGTATATTGTAGTTGTAAAAATTCTGGAGACTTTTATTCAAGAATGCGGGAGGGGTGAGGGAGTCACTTAACTCCGCCAGCTGTTAACAACTGCCAGAATGTTCATTTT